AGAATTCGAGAGATGCTTCTATTCTCATCTTGAGAATCGAAAAAGCCTCAAGAGAGGCTTGAGATTGAAACTTACGGAGGAATCTATGTCTGCGTATAGACGAATCATTAAATTAACCCTTACATTCCTGGCGATTTTGTGAATCACTTTTACAGTCTTTGAACTAGAATTTTCTCATATACGTCAAAGGACTAACATGACACCTCCGCTGCGCCACCATACTGACTTCCCGGATCGTACGAATTTTTTCAAATTGACTATGTTTGTCTTATTTGAAACTTTCTTTTTATATTAAGAATCATGAAAAAACAAATTTATTAATTTTTGATAAAATATGCAGTGTGTGTCTAGCGGTAAAATAAAGAACGCTCGTATGTATATACATTGAGAAAAAAATATTTGGTATTTAAAACTATAATTATATAGCAAAATTATATGCCATTTTTCAAATCTTACTGTTAGTTATTCAAAGGAGCTTTCTACAATTTCGGTTTATCTTACATAGAAAAATGATTACTATGAATTATAATCGAGGAAACTATTTTTTATTAAATTCTACTATAATATTAATGATAATAACCTTATGTCCATGTTACTACTAGCGTGTTTACTATTAGCGTGTTAGAACAACCAAAAAATATGGCCAAAATAACTATAATTCTAGTTAGATCAACTATTTTTTCTCTCAGTGTAAAGACTGAGTCGCAAATCGTCAGACACTCTGTATATGATAATAAGCGTAAAGTGGAAATATAAAACAAAATTTTTTTTATTATTTGGATAAAAATATATTACTAATAAAACATTAAAAATTTGCAAATATATTTGTGCGCTCTTTCTAGATTAATTAATTAAAAACGAAGTTTCTTTTCTTAAAAAAAATAAGTTGTCTTTTACAATATTATTTATCTGGCGCAATCATCTTCACGAAAAAATAATTTTCCAAAAATTTGCAAATTTGTTCTATGTTAAATCTTTAAATTTAATGAAGTCTGCAGCGCGATAAAAATACATAAAAATATCGAGTCCATCGTTTAATCAGAATGTCCGTGATACTTGAATCCTCGTGAACTACTCGTTGAAATGTTTTCTAGAATTCTAACGTTGTCGGCGCGCAAGGAAGCGTTTAAAACGTAATTTTATGCGCGTACGTACAAATCGCTAGCGTCGCGCTTCCTGTACCAGATTATTTATTGTATCCAGACGGTAACGGTGCATGCATCCTTACGCGTTCTACGTACAAGGTTCTCTAAATGGACAAGCATTGTTTGCCAGCGAGTCGTGTAGCGCCAGTTAATGGCGCAGCGGTGTCGAAAATATTCGCCTCGCAGCGAACAGAAATTAAATTCCAGGAGATCGAGATTCACGAGTTCAAAGATCAATAATTGACTGAGATGCTCTCTCGAAAGATAACACAACATGACATTTTGAGAATACTTGCTCCCCCCCTCCACTTAGAAGCATAGATTGAAGATATTTTCTTGAACTCAACTTGGAAAATTGAAAGCTCTGTAGTCGAAAGAACCAAAAAATACGCATATGTAAAAATTGAAAATTTTTGCGGATCGATCTAATCGCTGTGATAATTCGAAATCTAGGAAGTGAATCAAAGGACGTTGCGGATCTTAGAACCTGAAGATCCGTGTCTAGCGTGCCATCCTGCGGATCACGGTTCGCGGCCTTTTAAGCGACAGGTGCAAACATTTGGGGAGCAGCACAAAAAAGGAAGCCGGTAATTGTGAGCCCCGGGTAGAAGAACCAGTTTGCTAAAAACAACCCGGGCCCAGATCGAGTCTCGTTGCGGGGCTACCGAATAACCAACGGGTGTCGGTGTAGTAACGTGCGTGTAAGCGGCTCGTGAGAGAAGCGGCTTTTGAAAATCCGCTTTAAAACGACTACCGCCAAAAACTGCCTACCGCCGGAAATTATACGTTTCACCGCCCACGCGAGGAACGAACGGTCTTTCAAAAGTTATCGCCTTTTGCATTATTAATCGCTTGAGATACTTCGGTTCTCGCCGAGCGAGAATCTCTATGAGGTATTATAATTTAACAGCACAAATCTGTCGCTTTCATTTCTCTCACGGGAGATATAATATCGATCTCTTTAATATTTTAATCACACTCGCATACTTTTCCGACACGACATTAAAGCGTGAGTTGATGGAAACGTGACGGTGAAATTACGCGATATTGAAAGCTTGTTCCTTAGTGCACGTCCGCGTTTAACTCCAAAGTAATAAACGCACGCAGTCGTTCTGCTACGTCGAAAAGGCGCCAGAGAGTCGCAATACTTGAACTTATGCAGGAAATACTTTCTATGAATGAACTTTCTCACCGCTCATCGAGGGGAAGGATACGGTTAAATGCCAAAACGAACCGGAGCCGCGGCGGGTCTGACAAAAATAAATCGCGACTCGTTTCCTCGCTGCGTAATCCTCCATTCGCGCTATTATCAAATCACAAGACCATTGCCCGCGTTTGGAAGAGTTTCGTAGTGAAAACATTAGGACTTTGAAACATTGGCAATTTGAAACTACAATTACAACTTCGAGACTTCCAAATTACAGCGCATCGCGATTCTGAATTTTCACAGCTTGGGAAAAAAGCATCCAAAAGACTTTAACACCTAAAGATATAAAAACTTGAAATCCAAAAATTTAGGGAACATCGAAATTTAGGAAAAATTGATGAATTCGAAATTCTCAGACAAGATGTTTTAAATCTCCAAGGTTTTCTGTCTAAAGTACAATCAGTATATTCTTCATTGAAATGCGCTATAACCGGTGGTTCAGTTATATGTATAGCGCTGCAATTAGAAAAATTTCGCGCAAACAATCAGTTGATAATAGCGATTGTTTCTACCATTGATGCAGTTTGCAAACACAGATAGTTTGCATGCAAATCGCACGGAAACCGATAGTTTCATCGTCAGAAACGCAGAAAGTTAAATTTGAAAATCAGTGAGATATAAGATGAATCAGTAAAGTGGGAATGTCTCTGCTAAAATCACATTTACTGATTGTCGGTGAAATGCTCTTTTTGTTGTTGATTTAATCAGAAGTATTTTTACTGATCGACCTTAAGAGAATGGATGTAACATTTAGGCGCCAAAGGGCAAGGTGAATCGATCATCGTTCGAGTTCCTGCAGCTTGCGCGTCTACCTACGGTGATTCCACGAAAAAGGAGAACAATGCCTCATCCGACATACTCTAACGCGACCCCGCTGGAATTTCTACGAGCGCCTAGCTGCGCGACAGGTGGACCCACGTGTTGTTCGTGCACGGTCGCGATCGCAGTCGCCTAGATTCGAATTTAAAGACGATCGTTATTCAATTCAAATACACGTCTAACGGGCCAGCTCGCAGGATTTCCGCCTCGACGTTCGTTACCGTGTTCTAGAAGAATCGGGTTAGGAAAGGTCAGGCAGAGACGATCAACCCGGAGCCGATCGTCCGCGTGGAGATTCGATTTAACGATCTTCTTTCTTCTCCTTTTTTTTTTTTTATCGGAGAAAGCTTTTTTCTCGCGTACCTCGAAAGTAAGGGGTACAAATGTACGCGTGTCATACTCTGTACCCTGTATATATAAAACTTAGAAAGTATATTTCTTAACATATAAAAAATAGAAAGTATATGAAGCCGATATTTCACTGCGCAGTGAAATCAATTCGAATACGCTCGAGATGGGTACTCTAAATCTGATGTGTCATACAATCGACCGAAAATCACGTCTGATCCTTGCCGCTCTCTGCTTAAGTTTCATATAAATGTACTTACTTATTTAAAATTGCGGAGCAAAAGTTATTCGAGTCGCAGAATTCTCGCGGACGATCGCATTAAGATTTCGCCTCGCGGGGATACCACAGGAATATCTGCTTCGTAATTCGCGAGTCGCTCGTTATTTCACCGGCGTATGACGGACGTGGACCCTTAAGGGTTTCGTGGACCCTCTGGGGGCCCGTCGGAAAGAGATATATTTAGACGAGGCCCTTTGAGAGATCCTGCCTCGTCGGGACGCGTTGCAAGGCGGATTCGTCTCGAGAGCGCACGCAGGACTCTCTCAAAGACCGCAAGGATGAAAGACTCACGAAAGGACAGATGCGCAGGATACCGTTGCATCGATGCATTATTTATTACCCGCGCGAGTACACGCAACCGAACGTGAATTCAGATAAGTAAATCAAGCTGTCGAATGAGTTCGCTTTTAAGGCAGCCCGAGTCGAAATTTTGAGCCTACATTTCAACCTCAATATTCCACTTAACGCTTGTTTTGATACTTTGAAATCTCTGTTGATTTAACCTACTAGCTTTACCGAGAAGTCCTCTTTTTAGAACTTACAAGCGGTGCGTTTTCGTGCGTTTTCTGCCACTTAGAGAAGCTAAGCAGAATTTCAGTTTTCATTTAGTTAATATACACTGTAAAAACATTTTGTGTTAAATATATTTCACATACCCAATTTATGCACTCTAATTGTTGATTTAACGCAAGACAGATATTTAAATAAATAATGCAAACAATTATTCAAAGATTAACACAAAAATCTAACACTTGGACACTATTGTGTCATTTTAACATTTACAAATGGTGAATATAAATTCAACACGGAACAGTCAAAATAACACAATGTAACATATTAAACAAAACATTTTCCTGCAGATCAAATTTCAATACAAATGCAAAATGTTTCTTGCCGTACATTACAGATACATTGGTTCTTCAGAATATACGAATGTTAGAAAATTCATGTTCAAAGTAGGGCTAAAATTTCGACTCGAAAGAACTGTCGTTCGCGAAGACATGAGGCAGACAAGAATGTTTTAATTTGCAATCTGGAAAATTTGTCAATAAATCTCCACCCAAAGTATCAAGCCTCATGAAAAGTAGCGATCTTTTCGTTTTTATTCTAAAGGATTTTAGATGATCTATTTTTGTTATTTTATTCTTCAGAGATAAAATATCTTTTATACGATTTTATATTGATTGTAATACAGACTCACCTCGCACCTGGAGGTGTCCAGAATCTCGACTTCCGTCGTGACATTGTCGATAGTGACGCTGTGTCGATAGAGGAAATCTGCAACAAACAAGAAAAACCATAAGCTCGACGCTTGTCCCTATTAATACTTTGCCTTTGCGAGCGAAATTACGATCGCCGTGAATGGCTGGCGGGACACGCGAAGTACAAATTGACGACAGCGAAGTAATCTTTCTTAATCGACGTTATTTCGACCGATACTTCGATCTCCTCGGAGAAGTTCAACGGCGACATTTTCCCATGGTTAGAAAACGCGGCTAATGCGCGAAAGTCCCTCGGAGCGGTTAGTAACGACAATTCCAATTAGTTACGCTGACGCTCACTGCTGTGTCATTACGACCATTGACAATGACACGTGGCTTTCGCTTGAAATTCGCGCGTGATCGAAAAACGAGACATTTTTTAATCGCGCGTATTCCAACTGTTGCATACATTATTCATTATCGTCTCTCGTATCTTTTTGCATCCTTCTTACCTATTTGAAGCTTCATAATTTGAATGCTTCATAATTTTATATCTTTGAACGCGCATCCAAATCTTTAAATAGTTATATCTTTTATCCGGAACCGAGATAACACACAGAGAGAATTTTATAGCAGTAATTGACTATGCTTTCATTCCATATATGCTATTTATATTTTAGGAACTGAAATATAATATTAAAAATTTGCCTAAAATTTATGCGTGAATGAATCTACGCGGAAGGAATTTTGTAAAATAAAACTTACTATAGATTTTTCTAAATACAAGAGTAGATCGATATTTTGCCGCCATGTGCTGTTTATATCTTAGGAACTGGAATGTGCTATTAAAAAATTTGCTATGTTTCTTAGTAAGATAAACTGATAGTCTTACTGATTCTTACTGATAGTCTATTTCTGCGCTACTAGGAACACGGTAAAATTGAAAAGAATTTATATCAAAAGAGCAAACTATATAACATTCTCTTCGTGTAAATCATAGAATTTTTAGATCCTTGAGTTCGCCGAGTTTGAGTACTGAAGTAATAGGATTTTTACGCCTCGATATTTTATCGCTCTTAACGTTTTTAGCAAATGGAACTTTCAGAGTTTTAGTTTGTATCTTCGGGAGGGAGAGGGACGAGGAGGCAGGCGAGCGAACGAAAAAGGGAAAACTCGTATTTCTCAAAGTTGATTAGAGTGCGCTCAGAGAATGCGCACCACGAAGAAGGAGAGAAGACGCGGAAGCAAGTCGAACACAGTAGCTCTAACAGGATAGGTGTAATAAATAAACGATAAATAAACTCATAAACACCTCGTAGTCAGCAGCGAAGTGTCGGGGAGGCGCAGAAACAAGCAAATAAGGATGCTCGTTATATTAGCGACCGTTACGCTCGAGAAAGTTTTATTGCCGGACAATGCTGATGGAGAAACGATTTGACCGAGCGTTGCGACGGAAAATTCATTGCATCCTCGTAGAAGAAATATCGACATGCTGAAAAAGGCTTCCGAGAGTGCGAGGAAACGCGGCCCATGCGAGACACGTGTGGAAAGAAACCTGCGAGCAATCTGCGAGTGTGCGCGAGTGATATAATCGAGTTTAAAAAAGAATCAGATCTAAGAGATACGGACGGTCCGTAATTTAAGCAACGATCGAGAATCTAAGAGTCAAATCGCGTGCAGGAAGGAATTTCACTAGTAGGAGAGAAAACTGCACTCTCGAAAAGAAATCACGCACACAAAAAATATCATTTTACTGCTCAGTTCAGTTTCCTTTTTTTTTAAGTAATAGTTATTTCCAATAAAGAATATTTTTTCGATAATAATCTTGAAACATACCTATCACAAATTCTGGAAAAGATCATTATTTATGTAGTGAAAAGAGGAATTTATCCTGTCTACCAGAATGTTATAGAACTTTATCAAAGAAAAAGTTAATTCGATTTTATATGTGATAAACAAACCGAATTTTTGTTTTCATATTTTTGATTGAAATGCTAAGCTTACCAAGATTTATAATATATTTTGAATAAATGTGATCTCGAGTCGAAATTTTGACCCTATGTTAAATTTAGAATTTTACAACGCAGTAGAAGTTAATTTTGTAAAATAAGTTTAATTCTAATGATACAGTTTACTCCTACTTTAACTCTAATGATGTCCGAAATTTTCTTTTTCACTTTCTTTAGCGTCAAAATAGATGTTGAATGGAATAGTGAGGCTGAAAATAGGATAAAAATTTCAACTCGGGATGGCTTGTGGTGAAACTCAAGATAGATTTGCAGATGTATAAACTTATTAAATATCTGAAACAAACATCTATTCGTATGCAATATGTATTTTTCTGTGTGTATGAGCTCGAAAGTAAATTAGGAGTACGAAGATTGCCACTCGAAAAAGAAAAAGGAAAAAGAAAATAACGACACACTTTCGACGAATACGATCGGGCACGATAACTGTCACCGAGAGTGGATTCGGCTTTTGCCGTGGATCCGTCCACGGTATACGTGATCTATCTATCGTGAATCTATCGAGCGATCGAGATGCACGATGCAATCTTCTCTCCGCGCGGACAAAACGTTCCCATCCGCGCTCGCGAGGGGGGCCGACAATGCACAACGAGACTCGCTTTCTAAATCATTGCCTAGAATTATTCCACGCAAGGAGAGATTTGCATTGTTAATCGAGATCGAAATAATAACAAGCGCCGGCTGCATCTCGTGGCGAGAGATGAAAAGGACCGATTATCCTCGTGCCCCGCAAAACGTAGCGCTCGTACGAATGCCTTGTAATCGGAATCGCCGTGGCAGATCATCCTCGATCTTACTCAGAGAGATCAAATTTAAGTGGTGCTGATGGGAGCCAATAACGCGCGGCCGTTTCGAAAGTAACTGAAATCGCTATCGTCGAGAGAGGAGATGCCTAGATTTATAGATCTGCCGTTTCTTTTTTTGTTCCACCCGCGAAGATCTAATAGAGATCTAGCGAGCAGTGCGGGCTATAAATCTATAGACTCTCCCGAATCGTTTTGGCATTTTACATTTATATTTAGAGATTTCTTTTTTTATCCTCAAATTCCTACGCCCTCGCAATATTTTTCTCGCGTCTTATCTTCAAGGATCTCGAGATATTCCTTTAGAGATTAATTCTGCAAATAATGTCTATCACGACGTAACGCGATTTCTCTAATGCATTAGAAAATTTTAGAATAATATCTCTTCTGTACGCGCGCACGACGACTTACGATTATTTTATTTTAGATTAATAGAGGAGGTACTAATTTCTGCTAATTTATTGCCCGGTAGAATTTTTCCACGATTCCCTCGCCACATCACCTACGCGGACCAGCCGAAGGAAATCAATGGCCCCGCTTTCACCGTTCGAGGGCGTTTTCTTCGGAAAAGTGATTCTCCAACGACCGGGAACGAAAGTGTGCGCGGTAATCCGCACGAGTCGCACGAAGTGTCGATGTATTTTCGATTCGTTTCACACGAGATGTACCGGGAAAGAGAGAGGGGGGAAGAGAGAGAGAGAGAGAGAGAGAGAGAGAAGCAGAGAAGGAGAGAAGAAAATATGCCATTGCCGTGAATCATGATCACCGTGAATGCCACTTCAATCTTAGCCAATTTGTAAGTTTGGCGAAACGCCAAAGTTCTTAACACACTCGAAAATCCAAAGTTTCCACATTTTTCGATGTCTCAAAGTCTTAAAATAAACAAAGGCGCCGGAATAAATTCCCTCAAATTTTACGAGCGCGCCGTCTCGGTAAAGCGCGTGTGTCTTAGAAAGCGTAAAGAAAGTTACAAAAAATAAATAAATAAATAAATAAAGAGATACTTTGATTTCTATCTATTTTCTATATGCACGCGCGATAGAAATAATTTATCTCTAGATTGAGGCAACCTGCTCCGACGCTGTTTTATGCCTCCGGTACTTTTTAGGGTTTATTTAGAGGCGCACAGCGCCTGTGTATAATATCCCCGGACTACCTGTCGTGTCTGCGCCGCGGCTCTTTTTATCGGTCGTCATTCTTATCATTTTTTACCGATGCCCAACGATGGACGGCTCTCGATCGGATCGTAGCGCCCACGGCGTCATCTTTGAGGATCGATTGAGCGATTATCCCTCCCTCTCCCAGTTGCGCGCGCGCGCGCGCGAGGGGGGACACGCGAGATTATCCGCTTCCTGGTTACGTTCAACGGTGATTATCCATCATTTTCCCAGGAAATTAATTAATACCGATGGCCGGACCACTCGCGGCGCCCTTCCTTCCACTTTCGTCCGGCATTATCGATCGCGGCTAGATCGATCGAGATCAAGATTGATTCCGACTGCCAGTTACACGAGAGAAATTCGATAAATCGATGATTGCGCTATTGTGCGGGGAAGCTTTCCGCGCGTTACGTGGACGCGGTTGCGAGGAAAGTGAAGAGAAACTTCCTGCAGAGAGACACTCGGTCCCAGACTTATAAATCTCGAGTGGAGAAGCTTGTGTTTTCCATTTGAGCCATTTGAGTAACGATCAATTGAACGAAGAAAATCGAAGGTCCCGATATAACTTGGACACGCGAGCAAATACGTAAATATATCGAGCACGAAAATCCGCGCGAAACGCCAAAAACCTACATTCGACAAACACACGAGCACAACGCACGCGATGACATTCGCGATGCAGCAACTTTCGCTAATATATTTTCCTAATCCAAAAAACAATTTCCCGCCCGAAAGGAAGTTTAATCCTGAAACTAAGCGCACGCTCACCGTTCGCAATGCCAGCAGCGATCTTTCCTAGTCAAACATAAATTTGCATACTTTTCTAGCAATCACATTTAATTCGGGCTCTCCGATTATCGTCACGTAACGCCGCCGTAACCGACAGGATCGCCACAAAAACGGCGGCGCGGCGTTTAAGTAACCAAGAAACGTGGCGAAGACGTGGCTGGCCGGTGTGGTCGCACACACAGGTGTTAGAAAAATACAAGTGACGGTTCAGGGTTAAGAGGACAATACTTCACCGGGGTGCGAGCGGAGCGATTTTTCCAAGCGGCGGATATCCGCGAAACTCGCCGTCGTAGCTTACACGTCCGCGGGCGTGCACGGCAATTATTATGGCGAAGTAGCCTGTATGAGTTATGGGAGAGATCTGCATTCTGCGGACCCTCCCCATAGGCTCTATTTCATATCGAGTGTTTAAATCTCCGCCCTCCTCGGGTCCGGCGCTGTGTTTGTTGCGTCTCTCTCTCTCTCTCTCTCTCTCTCCCTTTCTCGATCTATCTCTATAAACCTCGCGTCCCTCCTTATACAGAGAGAGGAAGAGAGAGAGAGAGAGAGAGCCCTTCGTTCTATCTCGCGTATTTCTGTGACCGCTAGGATATGCCCTCGGGACGTCGCTCGCGAGGCGCCATGATTAAGATTTTTCACGGATACCCTTGAATTAGAGTCCGGTTTTGAGCGCGAGAATATTTCACGGCGGATTTTTCCGGACGGCGCACGGCTGAGCACGCGAGGGGAACTGATCAAGATTTAGACTCGCGCTCGCCTTTGCAAGCCGGGGTGAGCATTTCGCGCGTGAGCCGGAGCCGCCCCTCTCGCGAGATTATAAAGCCGATATAGCGTGGCGGGAGGGCACTTTCAGATAGGACATTTATTTAGGTCGTGATACCTCTCGAAATTGGGAGCGGGTAATCGCGATTGTTCGGCGTTTTGCGCGGGTATTTCGCGCCGGTAATTACATTCGCGCGCGCGAAGCAAGGGGATAATAACGAAAGAAAGCACTCACCGCTGGTCGAGCTGTACTCGCCGATGTATCGCCTCGTCAGGTACCGCACAACGACGGCTGCAACAGAAAGAGAAGAGAGGTCGATCAGAAAATGCGAGAACTAATCTCGCGCGAAAAATACGGTGCGGTCGGATACGTTGAGTGGCGAAATTAAATGTAGAATCGCGTCGAGAGCAAACGTATCTATTCGTATTTCAGCGTCCCCGGCTGCAAGACGCGCTCCTGCGCGCAGGTGTTGAAACGCCATTAACTCACTTCCATCGCCCGTTAATAAAGAAACCATAAATATCGGAACGGGTTCTCGCGGATTGCCGATAAATTTCTTGCTTCATAAATTTCGTTTCGTTGCACCGCGCAAAACGCGGCCTAGGATTCAACATGTCGGCGACGTTCCTCCTCGCGTCGTCCTAGCCGTCGTCGTCGTCGTCGTTGTCGTCGTCGTCGTCGTCGTCGTTCGACCCTTGAAGACTTATTAGCTACATAGATTCGTGCCGCTCCGTACTCGTAGGTACACCGTTTATAAATCTGTCGTCGGTCTCGGCAACGACGACGACGACGACGACGACGACGACGACGACGACGACGACGACGGCGACGACGGCGATGAAAGAGAAAATGAGAGAAGGAGAATATCATGCAGATAGGAAAAGAGAGGAGAGGCAGACACGAGCGTAAACGGAATATAGAACTTCATTCGTGAGCTATTTGCTGAGATGAGAGATAGAGTGTACATCTTCGAAATATCTCCGCGCAGCTGGACACAATATTTCAACGGCGCTTCAAACATATGACCGAAAAGCCAATGAACCAATTGGATCCCCTCGAGAATGGGATTTCTATTTTTCAATCGATGTAATTGTAATGAACACGCGCATGAATAGTGCGCCATTTTGCATCGTGTTTTATTCAAAAGGAACGTCTAGACGTCCTGCATATTGAAACATCCCGACTTGAAATTTCAACCCTGCTTTTGACCTGAACTCTGTGACGTTTATATATTCTGTAGGATCAGTGTACGTTTAACTCCTTAAGTGGCATGCTCGGAGAAATTTCGTGATAAAATATCAAATTCCTCTTAAATTGTATATTTTTTTAACTTATAATAAAAATAAAGATAAAAAATAGAAGAATCTGTTTTCCAAAATTTTTCAAAGAAAATGGCAATAAACAGAAAAGGAATCTAGATATGCGATTCATAAATTCGTATGCTCTCTTCCTCTCATTCGCTTATCTTCTTTATATTTATTTATACTTTATTACATATAAAGAAGAAATAAACTGTAGTCACACGCACGCCATGGCGAAGCGTAATCGACGCTACGCGCCGCCGATGACATGTCATATTTTTAATCAATTAAAAATAGGGATCCTCTCTGAAAGGTTAAACTTTCAACGACATCGCGGATTATTAGCGGTCTATACCGAGCTACCCACGTAATCGAGTGGACGCACACTCTCCCTTACAGATGACTGTCATCAAACCGAGGCGACGTCACGCGTAATCCTATACACGTAGCGCGAACCGGAGTAATTGATGTGGACACGAGAATGTTGCTCCTAATGCCTAATAGTCCCAACGACGATCTGTGCCAAGCGTGGGGTCTAATGAAAGCATGCTCTCCATCACGTCGAAGCCGAAACGCGAGGGAAACCCGACACTCGAGCCGGAGATACAGGGCGTTTATAAAGTTCTTATCTACGCGGGGTCAAGCGCTCTCGAGTTGGCGGTGCGCGGTCACTGCGACAACGTCGTATTTATGACGGACGAAAGTAACGGACGACTCGCACGGATTGTCGTGATGAAACGGATAGGCCATGAGAAATGTGAGACGTTTTTCAGCAGCCCTTAATTTTGGTAAATTAAAGCTTTGGCCGTCAGCTGCGACGAAATCCGCGAGAGAAGAATTCGAGACGGATATTTTGCGAGGAGACCGAGTAAAGTTCAATCAAGCAAAAGTATCGTATAGAACGATAAAACGGCTTAATTATCAGCGTGTTGTTTGCGGACGGAACTCCGAAAAGCTGCTGAATCCAAATAGAAATGAGTCCTTCGATCGACTGGTTCTCCGTAAAATATGGGGTGATCAAGTAAAGTTTAATGAAGTAAGAGCATGAATTAAGCGACAAAACGGTTCAATTATTACTACACTGTTCGCAGACAAAGTTCCGAGGAGCTACCGAATCTTCGCCACCGAATGGAGAAGAGTGCCTCGATCGATTGTGCGAGTGGCTCTCCGCGCGAAACGAAAAGGTACAAGAAGAAGAAGAAGGAAAAAGAAGAAGGGACCGAACAGGAAGGACAGGAGAACGAAGAGGAGAAGAATGAGAGGAGGGAGCCGATTAAGTCACCTGCGGAGAATTGTGTGTAATGTGGAAGATGCAACGGTACGAGCAAAACGTAGCCATTCGCGGTGCCATTCCGCCGACGTGCGATGGTTGCCAGCGCGGGGTTCTATAGATAGATCGTTGGAGGATAAGTCGCGCGCTGGTGGACGTAAGAAAATAGTAATTACGGCCACGATCGCCGTGGATAAGAGGAGGCAGAGAGTGAGTGAGTAAGTGAGTGAGTGAGTGAGTGAGTGAGCGAGCGAGCGAGCGAGCGAGCGAGAGAGAGAGAGAGAGAGAGAG